CGAACTGGAAGCTCCATCGACGAAGATGGTCCATTTGTGCTCCTTCCCTACGGGCGGGTCGTGAGCGGTCATTTCCGCGACGAAGTCGGCCAGGGCTTGTGCCTTTAGAGCTTTCCTGCTTTCATATTGAATGTCGAACTCGGAGAGCTCCAAGGACCATTTCAACATTCGGCCCGCCATATCAGGTTGACCTAATAGTTATTTTACCGGTTGGTCGGTTCGTACTATGACTGTGTGGGCCAAGAAATAGTGTCTAAGTCTCCTCGCCGCGTTGACGAGGGCTAGAGATACTTTTTCTATCTATTGGTATCTTCTATCAGGTCCTTGTAGGGCTTTGCTCGTGAAATAAACGGGTTTCTGCCCGTCGGCGTTCTCGCGAATGAGGGTCGCGTTGATGGCTTCGTTCGAGACGGCCAAGTATAGGAATAAAGGTTCCCCGTTGATTGGTCGAGACAGTACGAACGGTTGGGATAGGCTTTGTTTTAGGTGGTGTAGTGCCTTTTCACATTCCTTGGTCCATTCGAAGGCCGCTTCTTTGCGAAGGTGTTTGAAGAAGGGGAGGGCGTGCTGGGCGGATCTCGCGACGAAGCGGGACAATAAGGTGAGCATGTCGTTCATGACTTGTATTGATTTCTTCGACGTAGGTGTCGAGAGGTCGGAGAAGGCTCGACATTTGTCGGGGTTAGCTTCAATCCCTCATTCCGTCAGGTAGAATCCGAGGAATTTCCCTGCTTTGACCCCGAACGTGCATTTCTCGGGATTGAACCTCATCTTACATTGTCTTACTTGGGCGAAGACTGCCTTGAGGTGTGTTGCATGATCGATGTCTGATCGGGACTTGACGATCATGTCGTCCATGTAAACCTCGAGCATGTCTCTGATTTGCTTGTGGAACACTCTATTCATCATACATTGGTAAGTTGCCTCTGCGTTCTTCAGTCCAAAGGGTATTACGTTGTAGTAATAATTGCCCGAGCTGGTCATGAAGGCAGTGCAATGTTTGTCGCCCATGGCCATTGGGATTTGGTTATAGCCTGAATAGGCATCCATGAACGACAATATCTTGTAGCCGGCCAAGTTGTCGACCAACATATCTATGTTCGGTATAGGAAAAGCATCCTTCGGGCATGCCCGATTGAGATCAGTATAATCAACACACATCCGCAATTTTCCATTATTCTTCTTAATTAGTACAACGTTTGACAACCAGGTTGAATACCGGGCTTCAGAAATAAAATTCGCCTCTAGGAGGTCTTTTACAGCTTTTTTAGCAGCCTCCGTTTTCTCTGGAGACTGCATACGCCTACGCTGTACTACTACCTTAGCGGCTGGATCTATGGCGAGACGGTGACAGGCGACCTCGGGGTCGAGTCCGGGCATCTCCGCGGTGCTCCAGGCGAACAGGTCCGCATTCTCGCGCAAGCAGGCTTTGATCTGCTTCCTTTCCAGGTCGGGGAGGTCGATGCCAATCTTCACTCCTTTGCTTGTGTCTGCACCGAGGGGGATGAGCTCGAAGTCCCCGTCTAAGATTGGTCGGAGGGGGGTCTGCTCGCCGTTGGGAGGTTCGTCCTGATCGAAACAAGTATCCAGAGCTATGGAGTCGACCTTTAGGGGAGCTCTCTGGTCTTCTACTTTGGCGGGCTCTGATCTGTCGGGCTCTGGTCGTGTTGTCGCCGGTCTCTTGGCGGGCCTTGTCCCGGTATCGACAGTGTCGCGTCCTTTAGATGTGGCATTGAAACACCTTCGAGCAGCGGCTAGGTCCCCCTGGATGGTAGCCACCTGTGCCCTCTTGGTGTAGAACTTCATCTTCAAGTGGACGGTGGAGGGCACCGCGGTCAGTTCTGCCAGTGTTGGTCTCCCCAGGATGCAGTTGTAGAGGGACGGGCAGTCGATGACGAGGAAGCATACCTTAACCTGCCCCGTCGCCGTGCCCTTGACGAAGGTAACCATGAGCTCGACATATCCCCAAGGTTTGGAGGTCGAGCCGTTGAAGCCTTGTAAGTCCGACCCTACATACGGCGAGAGGTGCGAGTCGTCTAGCTGCAGAGTCCAGAATAATTGACTGTACATCACGTCGACGGAACTTCCTTCATCGACGAGGACGCGGTGCACATTAAAGTTATCCATTCTTTCTCTTATCAGTAGAGGAATGACTGCGTTGGGGGCTCCTCCGGGGAGCTCTTCGAGGTAAAAGGTGATAGGCTCCGACCTACCTTTTACCCTTTCAAAGGTCACTGTCTGCGGAGGTGCCGAGTCGACCAGTTCGTCAAGCTTTCTCTTGGCCGAATTGATAGTCAGGTTGTTGAATCCTCCACCATTGATGACCATGGCGGAGGGAAAGTATTCCCACCTGTTGTGTGTCGTGAGCGGCTCCTGCAGGTGTTCGGGGACGCAGAAGTCCTCCAGTCTGGTAACGAAGAAGGTGGTCTGGACGGGGACCGACTCGTCAAAGGGTCGGGCGTCTTTCTCCAGTTCTCTTGTCTCTCGGGCGTCACGACAAGGAGCATTGTTTCGCCGGTATTGGGCGAGCCTCCCTCCCTTGATGAGGGTTTCGATGGCGTCCTTGAGGTGGACGCAGTCTTCAGTCAGATGACCATGGCTCCTATGGTACTGACAGTAGTTGCTTTTGTCTACTCCGGGCTTGGAAGGAGAAGGTCGGGGGCGTTTGACGCTGCCGTCTTTGAAGTTTGTACTGGCATACTCCGCCAAGATGCGCTCGCGGGAAGTTGTGAGCGGAGTGTATTCTGTGAAGCGCCCGGAGGGTCCTCTCTGCTCGCAGACTTCTCGGGGTCTATCCTCTTTTCTTTTCTCCCCGGTTCGTCGAGGAGTAGCGGCTTCTTGGTGCGGGTTGCTGCTGGAACCGCGAGTTCTGGGGGTCCCAGGCTCTGTTGGCCGCCTCCCTTTCCTCGTAATCCATATATGCACGGGCCTTCTCGAGGAGGGTATCGAATGTTCGGGGTGGTTCGATGCCCACCGCCTTTCTAAATTCTATGCCGGGGAGGAGCCCCCTCTCCAGCAAGTACCTTTTCATGTGGTCCGCGCAGGGGACCTGTATGGCTTCGCGATTGAAGCGATTGATGAATTCTCTCAAGGTTTCATCCTGTCTCTGGATGATGGCCTCGAGTGCTGCCTCGGTCTTTGGGTGTCGCCGAGACGCAGTGAATGAACTTATGAATTGATTCTTCAGGTTTCTCCACGAGGTGATTGATCCCGGGGCGAGGCCTTTATACCAATCCATTGCTGCCTTTCTGAGGGTCGTGGGAAACAACCGACATTTGATGGGTCCCCCGACATTGTGGTAATGCAACATGGCCTCGAACCCGTCTATATGGTCGATTGGGTCCGCGACTCCGTCGTATTCCTTCAGATGTGGAGGCTTCTCCATGCCCGGAGGAATGAGCGCCTCCATGATGGCTTGTGACAGGGGACCGCGGGGGTCATCCTCGTCACTTCGCTCCGGGGACAGGGATGGGGACCTGAAGTACTGTCGTGCCCGACGGTCCTGGTCGTGCTGGGCATCCCTCGAGCGTGGTGCTCGTTGGTCAATTCTTCTGTGGCTGTCTCCGGAGTGTCTTCTTTCTTGCTGTATGGGGCCATGGTTGCGCCCTTCGGCTTCAATGACGGGTTGCCTCTCCAAGGGGGGTCGTCTCCCCGAGGGTCGAGGCAACGGGCTTCGGGAGGTGTCTCTGTATTGTCTCTGCGGGGGAGACGGGAGATGTACCTCTGTCACTCGAGGAGGTGGAGTCTAGGGCCTCCTGGGTCTCCTCGCGGGTCTTCTATCATCTTCTAACGCCCTCAATCTTTCCCCTTGGGCAAAGATGAGGTAATTGGTTTGGTTGATCGCCGCGAATAGTGCGCGGGTTGTGGCATCTGCCTCGGCGGGGATAGGGACTTCCTGAATTTGGGCAGCTCGATAGTTTTGGGGAGCTGCGTTGTCCTCTTCGAGTGGCGGAGGGACTGAGGAAGATGAGGCAGTAACTCCGTCGCGGAGGACTGAGGGCCCGGGGATGGTTCCCCCGGGGAGTGTGTTATGGTCGGAGTTACCAGTGTTGTCAAGGACTCCATTTTTATCTGCGAGGCTGTTGTTTGTGTCGATGACGCGGACATTCTGGTCATCCTGAACTTGGTCAGCCATGACGGTAGAAAGTGATTTTGAGCTTTGGTCTTCAAGGTTTTGCAAGACGGGGAAGCTAGTTTCCCACAAACGGCGCCACTGATCTTACCTGATCAGACTTGGACCATCACGGCTGGCTCGGGCAGAAATTTGAGTGAGATGGGGGGGGGGGTACCTGCAAGACACTCCGATGCTAAAATGAGTGACGGAATGAGCATGCAAAAAGTGTATGTATGCGTAAGAGATGAATACCTGACCCTCTAGGAACATAGGGTATTTATAGCCCCCAGCGTAGGGCCAAGGTCCCCTCATTGGGCCGACCCGAATTGGCCCAATAAAGGAACTGCCAGGTTCTACGTGTGTAGTGGGGACCCGCACGTTTCCCCCTTCCTGGTGATACTCTGCGAGAAATGAGGAGGGACGAAGACGCGGTCTTTCCTGAGTTCAGATGATTTGGTAACGGTTAGAATCTGCCCTACAAAGAGGGTGCTCGAGCTGGAGTTCCCGTGGTCGGGGACACCATGTGTCGCGGGCAACGGCGGACACAACTGTAGTCTATGGTCGGGCACGCTGGCAGAAATCCGCAGGCGCGCGTTTCTCGAGGAGATGCTTAGATTGGGCCTTTGTTCTTGCTTTTGGGCCAGGGCGGGCCCAGTCCAGAACATTGTATATGTGAAAACATGTGAATTATGTAATTTTGGGTCTGCTCTGATGTGAAATCGTAAGGATTTTGGGACTGGTGTAGTGCAGAAATAGCACCAGGATGTTCATGATTGCGCTGTATCGTCGGACGAGCCTTCTGCTTCGTCAGGCGAATCCAATTCTCCTAGGCAACACCGGGTGAGAGTGAGGCGAGTGGACTTGTGATTTTGGGTGCTCCTAGAAAATGTATGAGAGAAGGAGTCTCGCTGGGTGAGTTAAGAGGCGAAGGGAAGGGTGAAAAATAGAGCTCCTGGAATTTGTATAGGGAAAGGTGTGTCTCCCCAGCCTTTCCAGGTGAGCCTCAGGCGAGCAAGCTGCTTCGTCGGGTGTGCCTAAAGCGAGGGGCAACATACAATTTTTTTTAAGTGTCGTAACTTGAGTTTCAGGACTCCATTTGATGCGTCGTTCGAATCATTAGAGGGCTAACATGATGAACTATATTTTGGTAGAATAAAATGAGTAGGATAGTGTTGTCGCGCTGCAAAAAAACACAATCGCCACTGAACTTTATTTATCCTAAAGAAAGAGAAAATATCGAGAAAACCCCAAAAGGAAGGATAAGATAGTCTTGTGACAAAGAGAGAGGGTACATAAGTCGATTATGCAAGGGGAAGGTATTTGTACCCTTCACGTCTGTGGTACTCCACATGATCCACTCTTGTTTCCCTAATCAAAGGGTGTGTTATATCTAATGCTTACTTGCTAAGCGAATGCATGCGTGAATTGCTTTAAGGAAAAAACAAAAGTTTTAAATTATTGTGACCCTCGCGGTTGCGAACCTTTTTACCTTCGTGCCCCCTTCGTGCAATGGAGGACTAGGGCACTCGTATTTCACCTAAAAAATATTTGTTTGTTGGTGTTTTTTATAGGTGGCAAACCCTTTGGAAAATGTTTTGAGTTACGTCCTCCAGGTAAAATGCCACGTCTGATTGGTTTGTATTTTGTTATTTTTGAAAGTGTTTGAGATATGCACAATACTAAAGTTTATGACGTGAGAGACTTTTAGATGGTTGAGTCAGACGCCTCGTATCCAAAGTACTCCACATGTTTGAGGCTCGTGACGTATTTGTACGTATCATATTTTTTAGGTGTTTTGAATTTGCTTAAAAATGATTTTGTTTTTAAAAGATGCAAAAGAAAGAGAAAATGACTAAGGAGAAACTAATCCTAATATTGCCATGCATCATGGTCCTAAAGTTAAGATTAAGAGAAATTCTACTTAATTATTGTCATGATTGGTTTTAAATTCTAAAATCTAATTAATTTAATTTAATCAAAAAATTAAAATTGAATTAAAAATCTTAAGGGAACATGTATTAACATACAAGCAAGTACAAACATCAAACAACAAAAGTATTTCAAATTATAAACCATCAAGATCTCACAAAAGTTCAACAAGGATAAAATTAAAGTGATAAAACCCCAGTACACAAAAGATTAAAGAGAACTCAAGCCTATTTTTAGCATTTTCTTTATGAACAAAAATTAAAGGGAAAAATATCTAAAATCACGAATATTTATCATACATCATTCTGTCACAATTTGTAGAGAAAAAAAAATTTAAAAAGCATGCAAGATTTATAAAGAATTTTATATTTATATTTATATATATATACACACACTGGACCAGAAGGGATGTGTTATTCTAACTGCAATGCGTTGGCCTAGGGCCTTAAGCCCAATACCAATCCACTCAGAAAACTAACGAAAAAAAGTGCTGGCAAAGATGATACAGGGTGTGTGTGCTACGCAATACTCATTGGACTGGGGTCTGCACTCGTTGGCCCAACGTACAACTCAATGGACTCAGGCCTAATGTTAATTAACAAGGAATAGCAAAGGAATAAAGAGAACCAGTGAACAACTCAAAACGGCACCGTTTTCCCTTAGGGTTAGCGACTCCTCAACTCCTTTGAAACCTGATACTCTTCCCTCCTCATCTTCGTCTTCGATAACACGCCGCCGCAACCGCCATCCTAACCGCCCGAGACCTCCGATTAACACCGCAAACAGCCTCGCCTCAGTCTCATCTCTTCAATCCTCCACTTCGTTTGTATGAATTCTTACACCTTTCACCTAAATCTAATAGAAACCAAAAACCTAACTGAACACAAACCGAAATTACACCGATATGGTGCGTGAGATCGAGTCACATGCTCAGGGCTTTCATTCAGCGACGTACAAGCTATACAATGGTATAAAGATCAGTGCAAGAAGGTGAAGAAGACGGCTTACCTACCGGAGAAAGTCTAGTGCCTCTTCAATGGTGACGAAATGAGCAGCAAACCAGAGGTATCTTCAGGTAATAGCTCTTGTAATTCCTTCGATTTCTGCAACAAAATCTCTTTCTTCTTCTACCCTTTCTGCCAATGTTGCGGTTGTTGTATGTGTCCTTGCACTTGAGATGAGAGATGCAGGGAGATCGAATAGAGAATTCAGAGGCTTTAGCTCGGTTGATTAGAGTTTCAGAGGTTGAAACTCTAACAACAATGGTGATGAGCGTATGAGTGAGGGTGAGAGAAGGGATTGATGAAGAATTTCAGAGAGAGAGAGAGTTTCAGGGATGAAGGTGATGAATGGTTTGTTGGAAGTTTGTGAAGAGTGAAGAAGATGGTTGAAAGAATCATGATGAATTTCTGAGATTTTGTAGAAAATGGTGGTTTCAGAGAGTGAAGATGATTCTGAGAGAGTGATGGAGAATGAAGTGAAGGTTGTGAGATTGGAGGTGAGGTGAATTTATATAGAGGTTGATGATGGTTGTTTTCTGTTACAGATCGATAATCTTTGGCCCTTGGATCTGATGATTAGTTATGGTGGTTAATCGTGGGATTTGAGTCGGTTAAAAGTTGGTTAGAGGTCAAGAAATCAGTTAAAGTTAGTTGAGGGCTTTAGAATTCTGTTATGTGAGCTGGCAGGTTGGTTTGAAGATAGTTATAAGCTGGAACTAAGTTTGTTAAAACTATAAGTTAGTTAGTAATTCTGTTAGGCTACTGTTAAGAGTGAGGTAAGGTCAGATTAAGTGGAGGTTAAGTTAGCTGTTGAAAGTTAGTTTATGAGAGAGTTGATTAGGTACTACTTAACTGTAAATGAAGAGGGTTAGCAAACTGATTTAGGATTAGGTTAGTTAATTATTAGTTGACAGTTAGAATGCGAAATTTAAGGCAAACCAAAAACTGTTAGTTAATTAGGTTAAGATGTTGCCTTGAGTGCTAAGTTATTCATGCCAAGTGTTTGTGGTAATGTCCAGATGAGTGGATATGCAAGACATGTATTTGTTTGTATGCTTTGCAATGTTTGTTTTTCCAGCTGATGCATTGTGCAGTATATGTAACCTGTTATGTATGAACTAGCATTGGTTTTAGGTGTATGTATGGCTTTTGGAAGTGAATGGTTTTTGAGACTTATGTTTTTGAATATGATGCACCACCGTCGGGATTTTAGCACTGCATTCACCTCTAGACTACTTCTGAACTGGCTCATTTACTTGCTTGCAAACTGAGTTTCACCTTTCACGTGATGGCGTATTAGTTTTGTGTAAGCAACTATTAATGCACACAATTGAAGTGTGTATGCATATATAATTTTGCCAACTGTATTGGGTGAATTTCAGTAGGTATTTTGGCTTGCTCCCCTTGAATTTCTTTCTTGTAGCATGAAGAGGATTTGAGTACATGACTGAATTGCCTTGTGTATGGTTTAGGCTTGATTCCTCATGATAGGCTTTTGTGTTAAGTTGGAATTATTTTGCATGAACTGAACCTTGACATGGTTATTGATCCCTTATTAAATAGTAACCTCGCATTGTGTTTCTTTTTTGTACATGTCTGCTTATATGTATTTGGTTGACGTTACAAACTTGATTGTGAAATTGTTGTGATCTTTGCAGGGCAATTGTTATGTTAATGCAGGGGCTGTTATGGTCTTTTTGTATTATTCCCGAACGGGTTAGTGAAGTGAACTTGAATGGATACAAGGCTGCTGGGCAGGATTTTGCTTGGGCAAGTTATGAACTGGGTGAGATGGATAAGCTATAAAATTGGGGGAGGCTCGAAGGTGAGGTCACAAGGTCATGGACACCTTCTGTTTTGAATGTTTTGAAAGCTTGGGACAATTTGAAGACCCTTGGCATTCAGTCTAAAGCCCCAGGCTTAGGGTAGATTAGTGGAATTCCAAAATAGTCAACTTATGTGAGGTTGTAATTTGTAATTTCCTTGTATTGTATCATATAATCTTGTAATGACTTGTGACATTTTGCTATTCGATGAAGTTTCCTTATCCAACTCAATGCTCTTTTCACTTTATGTCCTCACAATATGACTTGTTGTAATGTAGCTTTGTGGTATCTCATATGAACTCAACATCCAATAAAATGCTTCATGACCTTTTCTTTCAAATGAGATAGACAAGTTGAGTAACCTATAAATCGTATTTCCATAAATGAAAGTCTTTCCTTCAATTTCCCTTGGCACAAGATATGATGCAAACCAACAAGAAAGTTCAAGCATGACTTTGGTCAAATAGGGTAGCTTTGTCTAATTTTCTTGATGTAATAGGATTGAAATTGGTCATGTAAATTGAAGTGACTTCTTTCCACACGCTTGTTTTTTGAATTTTCCAAGTAACATAATTCATGTGGTTCCATGATTTTGAATTTGAAAAGAATTCCCTCCATTTTGTCAATTTGAATAAATCATGGATGAAAACCCAAAAATTTGCATGAGATCCACAACCAAGACTTGCATAACAAGTAATGTAACACAACTTCAATTGACAATGCAAACCCTATTTTATCATGTACGCACTAAGCCTTGCACGAAACTTGTACCCAAGTGATGAATGAGTCCCTTTGAATGGTGATCTTCACTAATGAATCAAAGCTCTATAAGAAATCCTCTTGATTGCCACATGAGTAGGGAAATAAACCCTAACCCATGGCATTTGATCTTTAGTTGAAACGAGCCTCCAAAAGTCAATGAAACTCTGATGCCATGTGTAAACCCTAATCCAATTACCATTGATCTGAATCAAGCCTTGTTGTTAGTGAATGAATGCAACGATAGATGACCTAATGGAAAAGAAATGCACATGAATGACATGAGATGCATAAGCCATATAATTTAGATAAAGGGTAGGACAAATTTGAGGTATGACAGATGTATTTTTCCAGTACCTTTGTTATGATTAAATTATATTTTTAGTGGTGAATTGAGATGTGTTATGACGAATTGATGTGAATATGAATATGTATGTTTGTATAATGAATCGATATTGTTATGATGATGCCATGTGTATTGTGAAGTATGTGATGATATTATGATGATTACATGGATGATGATACGTTTTGACTAGCAGTTGTTAGGTGTTATTTATGTTGTTGCACATCATTCATTCAGGACATATATTAGGACATTGGTCCAGTGATGTTGTTAGGACATTCGTCCAGTAACAGCCTCAATCCCATGGTGTGGATTGAGTGCATTTTTGGGAAGTGCTCTGGTTCCAAGCGGAAATTGATTCTAAGATGGGGATCTCTAGAGGATAGATGAATCAGTCATCAGTGATGTTTGATACCACATGCACGAGTCAATGATGTTGTATTGCATTCTTTGTGACATTGTATGATTGTTGATTGAATGATGTTGATGATGTTGTGATTTAAGTGATGTTTAATGATGGATGTTAATTTGTGATATAATAATATAATATATGTGTATTGGAAATGCGAAAGTGTGAGTACATATGTGAAGTATGATGAATATGTTGAATCCTTGGTGATTGTTGTTGTAACTGCTATATTTATTCCATATATCTTTTATAATGATTCGTGATTTCTCACCCTTTCTGCTTGGAAATATTGTCTCTATATGTGGGTAACTTGCAGGTAATAAAGAATAGCTCGTAGAAGTTTAAGGATAACTCGGAGTTATTTATTTATTTCTGTTAATGATAGTGGTCTTGCTTCGATATTGTAGCATCGGGTGGAGAAACGCTTGAGTTGAAGTTTCAAGTGTTTTGATAAACATATTTTTTTGAGTTTTACTATGCCGGATTTATTTGATAATGACTTTTGATATTGACCAAAAGGTTTTGATATTGATGAACTAAATGAGGTTATTTTGAGACTATGATTCCGCTGCGAAGTTTGAATTGTTTGTTGATGTTACCAAAGAAACTATCGTTTAAAATGATTTGAAAGCCTGTGTTACGGAGCATGATGTTTTATATGATGTTTTTACGAAGATGTGACACCCTTGTTGGTGATTTATGTTTGATTAATATTATAATCATTTATGAATTATTAGTTGGGTTTAGAAGGGAGTTACACCGATAATGTTAGACATTTTGGAAATACAACAACTAACAAGGTTGAATCTGCACATGGTACATTGAAGAATTGGTTGGGAAACAGTAAAGGTGATTTTTGTCGAGATTGGGATGTCGTTAACCAAATGCTCTTAAACCAATATAATGAGATACAAATATCTTTTTGTTTGAGCATTATTGTGTTAGAACATCAATTCAAAGACAACATCCTTTATTCACTGTTGGTTGACAACGTATCTCGGGCGGCATTAAAATTTATTTTTCACGAAGCCAAGCGAGCATATAAAACATGTTAAGATGGCTAAAAGTGTGGATGTACACTTAGGAAGATGTGCGGTCTTCCATGTGCTTGCTTGATTTTAAAGAATACGAAGCTTGGAAAACTAATACTTATAGAAGAAGTTTGTAATGCCCCAAACTACTTTCAAGATTACCGACTGACCCTATAAATCTTGACGGGTCTTTTTCAGCATGCTTTGTCCTCAGTCACACGCTTTTTAGGAAACTTTCCAAGAGGTCACTCATCCAAATACTACTCCAAGCCAAACACTCTTAAATGTGGAGTTCTTATCTGTTAGGCTACCTAAAAGAAGATGTATCTTGTTTTCGGTAGCCTAAAAGATTAAAAAAATCCAAAGTTAAGCGTACTTAACTTGGAGTAGTATTTAGACGGGTGACCTTTTGGGAAGTTTCTCAGAAAACGTGCGAGTGAGGACAAAGTATGCTGAAAAGACCAGTGTTGGTTTATGGGGTCAATCGGTAATCCTGAAAGCAGTATGGGACGTTACAAATAGTATTAGAGAAAACTTATCCCAGTATGATGTGGTTCAGGGACGAACCAAACGGAAGCTGGTGGGCATGTAACACTTGAGGCCAACGAGGGCGAGAGTGGTTGTCGATGCATGAGGAATGACAAAGAGACACTCATGAGGATGGGGAGTAATCGCCTAATTTACATTAGAATGAGAGGGATCCTGAGGTTGTGCAAGGATGAGACTGCATGGTTGAAGGAAGACTTATAAGGATTGATTGGTACTACATATACCAACAAAATACATCTTCTTTTTGGTATCCTAACAGATAAGAACTTCACATTTAAGCATACTTAACTTGAAGTAGTATTTTGATGAGTGACCTTCTGGAAAGTTTCCCATAAAGCATGTGAGTGAGGGTAAAGTATGTTGAAAAGACTCGTGTTGGTTTGTGGAGCCAGTCAGTAATCCTGAAAGAAGTCTGGGGTGTTACAAAGTTTGCACTTACTCGAAAAAGCTTTGTTTTAATGATGATGGTGTGACGAAGGATGATAAATCAAACATATCTATCATGACCGAGTGAGAAGTGATCCAAGAGAGATTCATGAAAGCTGATGGCGTAATGAAATTGCATATAAAATAGAAACTAAAGAAGATTGTATATCCATAAACAACATATTTGAAACCATCTTCAGAACTAGTTAAAATAAAGGGTGCCCTTAAGAAGGTCATACTGACATAAAGTGACAACTCCACGAGATATTCTCCTTCATACGTTGAACATGTTACTCACATTTTTCAGATTCTCTGACTTCAAAATCCCAAAAACTTGTTTTTAAGGGTGCTCACATTAGAAAACCATCTCATCCACCACCTTTATAAGAAATAAAACACTTTGAAGAGATGTTGCTTTTTATGCACAAATACATTGAGTGGATTGTAAATGTTGAAGGTGACGACAATTGTGGTTTTTGAGCTATTTCAAGTTCGCTCGGTAAGGGAGAAGATGACTACTAATTTGTGTGTCATCATATTATACAATATATAATGATGCATATGGAATCCCACATAAATCTATATGATAACAAAGTAAACTGCGATGCAATTCTTAATGCTCTAGTTTCGTGTCCTAGTGGTTCAGCTTCGTTTGACAAATATGTGTGTTTCCCAAAAATATGATGTCTTATAGCAAGTGCTTATGATAGGGCGTGTATTAATATAACATGATATGGATTCTAGAAAACATTCTTTCCACTTCAGAGTAAGCCACCTCAAAATCCATTTGAACTTATCATGTATATTTGTTGGCTATAAAAAAATAGCATTTATTCATGTTTATTTGAAGTTGGGATGTCTTATACCAAATACATCACCAAAGTGAGCGACGCATTTCACACAAGATGTTGAAACTTGGTCGGATCACTTTTTAGAAAGGATGGAAGAGTTCACCAAGTTGAGTGACCTTGAAAGAGAAGCCAAAATTTGTGTTTCTAAATTCTGCAGTGCATAATTTTTGGGTTGGTCGGAGATGCGTCTCTGGACACCTTTTAATTATTTTAAAAAAATAAAAATGGGACTATACGAATGTGAAACTCCGTAAAGGCCCTTATTTTTGAAAATGAAAAAGGGCGTATCCGAAGATGCGTCTCTGAAACATATATTGATGATAGGATAAGATTTGTAAGATCCTTATTAATTTACAACTTTTATAAATATGGTCTCTCATTCCATTTTCTTTACAAAAACCATAATGAATGCATATCTCCATTTTGCATTTGAGAATTGGCACAAATCCCCCACTTCAGTTTAGGGTCTATGAGGACAAACTTCTCGTCAATCTGAAATCCAAACTGTATACTCCCGTGTGATATGTGTAAAATCAGAGAATTATCAAACTCTTGTACCGTTCACTCTTGATTGATAACAAAGGGAAGATACGATTCATTATGATTGAACTA